ATGTGTGTATCTGAAGGGACGCTGCCACGATAGGTGTAAATCGAGTTTTTGAAGGCACGCGGAGTGCAATTATTCGAAAACCGTTACTGAAACTGGTGAATAGGATCACACGAAAAGTAGTTGGGTGCCTGATCGATGGATGATTTACTTTTGTGAACGTTCGATATCCGCTCCGAAGGGTCGTCTGAGCTCACGGCGCGTTCAGGCGGCTGTGGTGAATAGGATACGTGGGACGTTGTTGAGAAGCCATCGCAAGTGGTCATCCGGTTTGTGAGATCGGATGGGTGCCGCTTGACCATGTAGTCTTCCTTCATGGGTCCGTGATTTTGATGATACTGTTTACTCATTCTTGGTAATATTTATCCAAGTAGGTTTTTTGAATCGAGCTTTGCAATGCAAAAAGATCCACGAGGTAAGAATTCTTACTGGGTAAAACTGTTGAGGGTCCGTATCCGAAGTACGCTGTCGCTAGGTATAATCTTGAAAGCACACTTGTTGGTTGTTTGTCGTGAGGGTGTTACATAGTATGTGTGTATCTGAAGGGACCCACTAGGTGTAAATCGTAATCTTGAAAGCATGCGGGGTGCAAATTAATCGAAGAGCGTTACCGAACATGATGAATAGGATACACTTTGTAGTGGTGATCTGATCGTTAAATGATTTACTTGTTGTGAACGTTCGATATCCGCTCTGAAGGCTCACGGCGCGCTCAGGTAATCTTGGGGGTGCTTATTCACGGTAGTGTGCAGTATTACGTAATCAATATTTTTTGACTTAAAGATGGTGCAGCACAGAATTAAAATACTGAAGCTATACACATATAAGGGCTGTGCTATACCAAAAGTTGATACGTATTGATAATCGAAAAGGCACAATACAGTTTCAGGAATACCAATTATATGTCATAATATACCGTATTTCTTTGACTAAAGTACCCCCCCCCCCCCCGAGCAAAGTACCCCTCAGCAATTTTGAGGCCTAATTTTGTAAAAGACCCGGGTACTATTGTCGGAAAAATCAATATTATCGCGTAAAATACCCGGGGCATTATAAGCGGATATTCTCATATAAAACAAAATTTTGATAGTAATAGGGGGTACTTTACACAGATATACATATACCCTCCTCCCATCAAAGTACCCCCCTGATGAAGTACCCCGGGTACTATACAAAAACAGTAAAATACCCGGGGTACTTTAGTCAAAGAAATACGGTAGGCTTTGGGTCGTTATATACAAGTTTTCGACGGACGCTAATAAAAACGTAGGCGTTGGCAAGATGAAAATAACTACGTGTTCAACGTACAAGTTGCTAAATAAAAGAACGAAATGCTCAAATTTTGTTCTTATATAGTATGGTATCCAGTTCCTGCCAATTAAGCTAAGATCCCTTTTTAATAATATTGCTCGCTGACAATATAAATCTATTGTGGAAACAATGATGCCTCGCTTAATTTTCTATTATTGATAATGAAAAATGTATAATTGGCTTTCATTTACGTAGAACGTCACATAGAAAAGAAACGGTAATGTTGCAACAGCTGCAATAAATTAACGATAAATTTACGCATGCAGAGTTAGGGACGTGTTTTGTTATAGGCTAACACGATTCGGTTCTGTCGATTAACGTCAAACAAGAGTCCGAAAACAGAGTGTGCATTATTGTTTGAACGGGCAGCGTACCACAAAAATACTCTGGATTTAGAGCAGGAGAAGCGTGTTTATTTTAACAGAAAGCATTAAATTCGAGTGATAGTAACAACTAAGAGCGTCAATACATGCAATCAAAATTTTTGAAAACCGCTAGTCTATGATGTATTTGTGAATCATCTCAATACATGACGTCAATTCGGACACTTGATATAAATCTCTGCGATTTAATGAGTAATTATGAACGTAGCTGAGGGAAAAAACACTTTCAGAGCACATACTGTTCGCTATTGTTTACTTTCTTGATATGATAGTCTTTTTATTGTCCTCTAGGAAAGTGAAATATCTATTTTTTATATACAATTACTTTGTTTGTGTGACATAGAATGACAGATTATCAACAAAAATATCAAAGATGAAATCAAAACAGCATTGTCATTGTTTTCTTTCTTAATAAAATAAACGCTTATCGTACAGCACAACGGTACCACCATACGTTTTCTTCCCGACCCACCATATTTCCCTCGTTAACTGATCCTCGGCACGAAGCCATACGCGTTGTTTGATGCTAAAGGCAACGTTATTTGTGCATGCGTAAAAGTTCAACCGTTCATGTTCCAAGATAAATTCGTTCTATGTTTATTAGGAATGAAAATTAGATAAAGATCAATGCAGTGCAAACTATAACAAAAGCACGAAACTGTTATCAGAAAAAACGCATACGTTGTTTGTTAGTTGTTCTTTCAGTTTTGTAACAAGCTCGTTGTACAGCTCATCCTCCAGTTGCTTCTGTTCAACTTTATGAGTAGAGTATGCCCATATCACATATCCAATCGCTATAAATATGACCGCCTCTACAATTTACGAGATATAAATCAAACGGTTACTGTTGCTCATCTCAAATATCAGAAAACGCTGCAATTCATAATCTATCCATTACGTACTGGTTAATTCTACTGCAAATCCATACGCAAATACAGGTAGTTCTTCAAAGACATCAGAAATCCAGCCAGTTATCGTATATTTCATGTGAACAAAAGGTATCATGATTGTACGAACTATGAACGAACAGATAAAAGACGCATTAGTTTGCAAAGAAAACGAAAAAGAAATCTCCAAATTCCTCAACCAACAATTTATCGCTTCTGCTCACCAACATAATCCCAAACCCAATTGTTCTTCGTTTCCGATGGAGCATAGGCTTTGAGTCCAATTGCAGGATTAGCACAAGTGGCCCTCTGTGCCTCTTCCCACTCTTCCTGTGTTTGCAACCACTCCTCCCATTCCTCCAAGATCTGACATAGTTTTATTATCCCCCAGTACAGCCAGCACAGCCCGGTAAAGACACCCAACACTATGAGTACGTCAACTAGTGACACGTGTAGATTTTGAGACGTGCTTTTTGGAGGAGAAGTGCGTAAAGAAAGAGGGATCTTACGATGCCACGGTTTGTCGGTATATGATGGCACGCCATAGTAATTATGGGCATAGTGCCACTTTGTATTGTCCAATGTAAGAAGGAATGATTTACGTTTTGGTGTAAAAACTGTGTAGGGCATTTGAAACTTGAGATGGCGGTGCGATGCGTTTGTTCTTTTAACAGAGTAAAGGAGTCAACAGATGTAATTAAGAATTTCTGATAGTATCGTGTCAAACGTCACACGACTGCAGATCGACTGCATATTCACGTTTTCAAAGTATGGGAACATGAAATTGAACTCCCGCAAAATTATAACCACATTATTTGTCTAGTTACTATCGTAAGTAAATGTTTATTACTGATAAGGTTGCATATCAATCATTAATGGGATTAAAAAATATAATCAGGAGGCATAATATGACGGAGTAAACATTTAACAGTAGCTAAATTATTACAAGAGAATATTTTAGTTAGTTTTTAACGTTTGACGCATAAGGGGGGAAATTGCAGACTCTGTGAGACGCTCTCTGATAGTTTGTTATATTTTTAGAGAACACGTTAATGTATGCAAAGAGAAAAGGAAACTTTCGCAAGTTGTCCGGAAAAAATTTTGTTCTTTATTTACCAGGTTGTGTTCCAATCAACGTCTGCGCAAGTATATCATAATTTGGAGCGCTCCACTCAAGATTTCAACAAGTTGTTAAAATCGATATGCGCAAATCTTCATTTTGTTCTGGTCACACGAGTCTAAACCAGAAAAGCAAGCCTTTATATTTATATTTACGTTTAACCAATTAACGTTAATTCTAAGCGTAAATATCCTCATATTAATATAGATGAATATCCCCATATAGATGAAGGAAGGACTTGTTCAATTTTGAAATTCTACCGGCTCGCTGGTAATACGCTTATATTAATATTCACAGTAGTCGATCTCGAACGCGTAACATTGTTGCGAACACACATCTTGATATAATTGTTTGTTAAAGATAAGAAAGTTTGATAAAGTACAATACATTAGAAGTTAAAGGCGTTAGGCTTATGCGAGTACAGTATAAATTTGCATACAGTCAAACCACGTCGTATCGAAGAAACCATGAACTTGAAATTTCGAGCTGTAACGAAAATCGCGTCATGTCGTTGCCAACATTCCGATACAAGATTTTTACATCAATCACTAATTCGTTATACGAAAGTTATACAAGTGATTAAAAGCACACAATGAATTATTTGCAATATGTAATCTGTGAGCTAAAACACATAGTAGAATTTTTCTATTGCATAATTTAGAAAAAAAAAAGAGAGATAATATTTAATACTAAATATTGTTAGTATACGTAATGAAAATAACTATCGCTTTTGCTTTTGAAGTAAAACAGCTGCCTTTTAATATGGGTCTTATTACGTACTGTTATTGAGAACTCTACTATCTATATTATGAGTCGGTGATGGCGGAAAGAAATCTGAAATTTTTATTTAACACTTGTGATCTACGATAGCGGTAGTAAGTATCCGATCGTCTATGATGCAAGACAAAGAATGAGTAAACGCTTTGAAAATATCTCTTTATCACTGCGAGATTCAATTCGATGTCAACATTTACGTTTAGATATACTGTGGTTTTTCGGTCACAGAAATTCAAATTTCGAAATTCATATCTCGACACTTATTGTGTGAACCTGCGTCTAATTAGGATTTGTATGCTGCCCTTGAATCTGAAATGCTCATTAACGATTTTTGCGAAAATGTACTCGCAAAAATAAATAATAGTTAAAATTGACCAGGAGTCATAAACGTTACAAAAATAGCTATTTGCGAAATTTATTAAGCCGATGGTACTAATATGGTAATAATCGGATGTACTGTACTACCGTCCTTTACTCAGAAACTACAGTAATATTTTATAATAACGGCTCTTCTTCAAATATTTAATGGCCGACACACCTACACCTAATAGCGACAACGACGAAGATCTGCCCGGTGCTCGTGCCTCTGCTCTTACAGAGGTGTCTCCTAAGGATGCATCCTCATCGCCACGCGATTCGGGCGACGACGCACAAATAGAGGACACTAGGAATCAATTCGCTGAACTGTTTGGAACAGACACTAGCGAAGATGAAGGCGAAGCCGCAGACAGACAAGAACAAAATAACCTGGAAGATTTACCAGACTCTGGCACTTTTGAGCCTGGTGATCCATCAAGTGTGCGGGAATATGGCGAGGAGGAAACATATGATACGGTGGCATTCGATCAAAGGAAACTCTCGCTTGGTCTTGATAATAAATATTACGTGATGAAGGTCCCAAACTTTCTCTCTGTCAATACAAAACCTTTTGTACCTAACGAGTATGATGATAAGGAAGAGATGGAGAGTAAAGACGGGATAAAACTAGCAGGAGAGAACACAATAAGATGGCGCGAAATACGCAACAGCTCCACTGACGAAATTAAAAAACAGACAAATACCAAAATTGTACGCTGGTCAGATGGATCAATGTCTCTATTGGTTGGTGAAGAGCTGTTTGACATGTCAATTACAAGTTTGCATTCTCAATTCCAATACCTCTCCACCAATTATCCCAACGAAAGTATAATGGAGATGCAAGGCCGATTAACCGATCAGGTGACAGTAAAGCCTTTTGGCACAACTGGATCAACGCATCGTAAGATTGCCGCTGTAATTGCGTCGAGACATGTAAAACAAATAAAAACAAGAATGGTAGCAACCGACAGAGATCCAGAGTTACGGAAACTCGAACTGGCCAAGGTAATTTGCCCAATATCTCATATTATCGTCGTAACTTTTAACCATATCTGACTGTAATTAGGCCGAGAAAGAGCAAATCCGCGCTCAACGACGAGCCGACTATCGTCGTTCACGAAAGGCATACGAATCTCGTCGTGCCAGGGAGGATGATTATTTAGAAGAAGATATTCGTCCAATATATCGTAGTCGAAATGATTCGTACGAGGATGGGGGTGATTTCGTTGTTAGTGATGAAGAAGTAGAACGTGAAGAAGAAGAAAGGGAGCGACGTCGTGAGGCACACCGCAGGAGAAGGACGGTCACTGGTGCTAGGGAAGAATATGATTATAATGTAACATCTACACCTGAGAAGGAAATTGAAGAAGAGGAGGAGGAGGAGGAGGAGATGGAGGAGGAAGTTGAAGAGGAGGAAGCGGATGCTGGAGCAGAGATCGAAGCAGCAACAGAGGAAGAGGAAGAGAACATGGCTGAACTTGATGGTGTAGAGGTTGATGATGATGTAGATATGGAAAGGGTGGCTGATAATGGTGCAGAAGAAGAGGGACAGGATGATGAGGATGAAGACGAGGACGATGTAGTTGTTATTAAAAGACCGAAGAAGAGGGCAAGGATTTTTGCTGGTGACGAAAAGTAAAATATTATGATTACTTTTCAAAATTAATGCTTCATATAATGTAGGGAACGTCGATAATATTACTCACTTGAATGTAAAAATGTAAATTGGTACGATAGAATAAAAAAATGTTACCTCTCGAGTTGAAAATTGTCAACACGTCACTGACTCAAATGTATACGAAACTCTTATCAGCCACACAGAGGAAATGAATTCATAATTATAATAACAACATATTTATATACGATTGTTACAATTCAATATTTTGTATATAAATTAACTTGGAATTATATATTCAAAGTTTTTACGAAATATGCGATGTGATTGCTGCAAAAAGACAGTATTAGTATACAGTATATTACATAATATACCCGTTTTGTTGATATACTCGAAGAGTTGTTTTTTAACCTTATTGTTATTGATATTAATACCCCATCTCTAAATTACATTTGGGCAACATAAAAGTATAAAAAAGTATCAATTGGTACGCTCCTAATAGCCACAAACAACCAGAAAAGTCATATTTAATTTCAGAATTCCATGCGTTAATTAAATAGTCACCAGTTCGGTGAAAGTATTACATTGTTAGTATGAAATGTACTCGACATTTTAAATTTTTATTTATTCTCATCTCTATCGATGGGATTAGTCGCTTACATATAAAGGTCGGAGTATACTAAGCGTGTGTTCAATGTATCGCTCTTAAAATAAAGAATTAATGGTTTACTCCGAGACCAGGGAAATGTGAATTAATTTATGCGCATAAAAACTTAATTATTATAATGAGCTATTCTATTATTAGATACAAATTGTTATCGTGAAAAGAACTTGTGCTGGACATTATGTCAACGAGAGAAAGTCAACGTATAGCAAATGAGAGAAACGAAGAACACGAAATATAAGGTGGTTTAAATGTGGATAAATAACCAATTTTCCATATTAATATTAATAGAATAGAATTCGTATATAGATAGTACCCGCATAAATTAAATAAGCTTAGCTTGATACAATTACAAACGCAATATGTGTAAAGTTTGTTAAATTCATATTCAATAAAAATACGTGAGACGAGTGATGGACCTTTTTATTTCAAGTAACTTGTTACAAGGAATGCCGATATAATCCGCATCTGTTTATCACGTAATAGTAATAGCAATAGCAGTAAATATAGCGACTTTCTGTTTACAGCTGGGGTACCACCAAGCTTAGTTACTATCCGAGTTTTAGTGCAATGACTCTTCGTGTTAAGTAAATGGTTTGCAATTACCGGCTGATAAATAATAAAGGGACGTACGATCCATCAATTAATCTCGACTCGATAATACAAGGTTGATAACCTATTCACTTACTATCATTAATTAGCAATTAATATTACGATGTAAGATTCAATATGAATCATCGATCGAGGTACCGACCGAGGATCGATCACATTGGTTAACTGGAACGGATTTATTATGTGTTCCGGTCACGTGTTTGTACGTTGCTAACATGCTATTCGTTGTCCAATGACGTCATTGTCGTCTATTTTTTTACTTTGCAGTTCCAACTGTTGTACTCCATTCTTCAAGTTGCTTCAGTTCGTCATATGTTATGGAGAACGGTAGTTCTTTTAGCGATATGAATTTTTTACCAGACTTTAACTTTAGTGATAATACGTTAACCGCTACACCCGGGATCTGGGAAGACACATCACCCGCATCTCAGCTCCCCCTTACTCAAGGAAACTGGGACGCGTATGAAGAGCTTCCAGTTGCCCCCGCAGATCTTAACGAAGCGCAACCAGCGTTCATAAACACAAACTGTACAGAGTCTGTCATCAATCCTGCCCTAATAACAGTACAGGAGGCTGATGAGAATAGTAATAATAATCATAGTAATAATAATCATCGTCTTATTGGTAAGAGTGATACTAATAATCAAAATATACACTCAAAACACGGACATTCATACAAGACAAGATCTGCTAGTCGAGCTGAAAATGCAGCGCAGTCAAAACAGAGCGAGGACTCTGATACGAGTCACATGAGAATTCCTGCGAGTAGGGAAAACCAGGGGGAAGGGCAAGGGGAGGTGTATTGTCTATGCCGTAAACCAGATGACCATCGAATGATGATTCAATGTGACAAGTGTAGAGAATGGTACATATACTCTTAGTTTTATCGGGGTGTGATGAGACTCGTTTAGATACTTTGGCGTTGATTGGTCAATATTGACATCATTTTCTTCACCCCCCTATTTCTATTAGGTATCATCTAGCGTGCGTGAAGTTGACAAAGGCAAAAGCCGATAAAATAAGGAAATATTACTGTCCAGTTTGCAATCCACTAAATCAAGTTGCCATACCAACTGGTATGACTATTATTTCTGTCGTTCTTTTTTCTATCAAGGATGTGGCTCTTGTTCAGTGTATTTTTGCAGTTTTGTTCAACTATCAGTTCATTTGTTTTTCCTGTTCTCGTTTTGATGATCCGTTTGTAATATCTTCGTTCCCCTCTGATGTTGATGATAACGGGTGTCTATCAACTTGTCCTATCTGAGTTTGAGCGTATCCCATAACTGATTTAAAAAGCCTTTACCTGTATTCACCTCGTGCTGCGCCTTTCAAGACCACCGTTTTGATAAAACGCATTTTTGTTAAGAGTACGTTTAAAATCCGTACATTATGGAAAATTTTTTCTCAACGCCCCAAGAGTCGTTCATTGGGATGCAAAATAAGCAGCAACGAGGATATGTATTATCAACAGATTAGCCGATCCTGTATCCGGCAACCTAGAATAGATTGTAGTTTGCTGATAGAGCCACATCTCATATATATATATCTTAATATAGTATTGTAATCGTAATTGACCCACAGATCTAATCCATCAAACCATATTGTCTTTCTTCGTTTTGATAGACGGGAATTTCGACGCTGCAGTGAAGGACGAGCATTTCGAATCAATCGTTATTGGCGGTGACAACATTGTCAAGATGGACATCGACGGTCCAGTAAGTATGCAAATGTGTTATTTCAGCCCGTGATCCGTCATTCATTTTTATGTTCATCACTTTTTTTACATTTCATCAAAACAGAAGAAAAACTGCCTTTATCCAGGGTGCCAAGGTGAGGCACGCGAGAAAGATGCTTACTGTAGCGATAACTGTGCAGTAATGGATGCCGATAACGTGTTGAAACGGATCGCTGGGCAGATGGAGCCACAACAAGGATCCACACCACTTAATGCCCCTACGAAACCTCTTCCACTTGCTCTATCTGTTGAGTCTGTTGAGTCTGTTGAACATGCTCAATCTACACAATCTACTCCATCTATTCAATCTACTCCACCTGTTCAATCAGTCATACAGGAAATTAAACCAACAACTGTCCCAGAACTCAAATTGAATACAATGTCAAAACAGTCTGCTCCGTCTCCAAATACTGAGATTAATGCGGTCCCAGTGAAAGATCGTATTCGAAATTTATCTATTAAACAGTTCACTGATATATTTACTCCCTTATTTGCTGACCTAACCAAGAATAACGATATGTCTGGCTCTGATGGAGAGCATCTTGCTAAAGCAGAGAAACTGGCACGGGATATAGAATTTGCTATGTTCAACAATTTTGCCACAAAGAACAGCAATGGAATACCCGTGACATGTGACCAACCATACAAATCAAAGTTTAGAAGTCTATATACTAATCTCAAAGACAAGAAAAACAGTTCTTTGAGATTGAAAGTAGTCAGGGGTGATATATTTCCAGAAAAATTAGTTAATATGTCATCAGAAGACCTAGCCAATCCAGAATTAAAATCAATGACTGAGAAAATAAGAAGAGAAAGCATTAACAAGTCTGTCCTGCAGGCCCCAGTACATGAGCCAAGGATAAAGAAGACACATAAAGGAGAATTTATAATTGTCGGCGGAAGATCATCATCACCCGGACCCGATAATTCCAAAGACGACCAAAAGCCAAATGATGACAAGTCATTGATATCGCCTACTTCGTCTTCCTTTAGGACTAGACTACCGCAAAGATCTAATACTGGCGATAGTTCGTCGTCATTTGCCGGAGCAGACTCAAAGGACAATACGGTTTCTCCCAGAACAACGAATAGTAGTCTTGATCAGATGCTACGAAGACTTAGTGCGAGTGATTCTCCTTCCGCTGATAAAAGGTCACCTGATGAGGCTGCATGGGATCCTTCGGCTCCAGAGCCCACATTAGAAGAGCCAAGTCCGTACATGGGGTCCCCTATGACGGCACTGTCTCCGAGTACAACAGATTCAATTGGGAACACCCCCCCGTTTACGGCATCTCCATCTCCACCCCATTCGCCATCCACAGGAAAAGTTCTACCCAATAAACCAGTTTGGAGTGGGCAAGTCATTTACAACACTGTTGCCGATTTCAAGGCTGAAGCGACTTTAGTCGCGGCACGAACAATTCAGAATCGTGATTGGAGTCAAATTATGACTCCAACCATGTTTATCGAAGGACGAATAAAAATTGACGATGCATCGCGATATTTATCGCAACAAGGATGCTCGGTGACAAAAGATGTGGTAGTTATACAAATATCACCAATTGAAGGGACAGAGTCTCGGGAACAGTTTGAACTCTTGTTTGATTATTTCCATTCTCGCGAACGTTTTGGAGTAGTAGGACATAGATTTGCTGCTGTGAAAGATATGTATCTTGTGCCACTTGCGCCGCATGATGAAACGCCTGAATTTATTCAGATATTGGAAATCGATGAAGTGCCGGAACAAAGGGATACAAATATAATGTTGGCTGTAATAGTTATAATTAAGACCCCATCTTCAAAACGTAAGCCACAATCATCATTGAGTGCTGCGATTGCAAAGAAAGAGAAAACGGACTCCCAAACCATTTTACCAATTAGTGAGCATAGCTCTAACTATCCGACTAGTCACGGCATAGATGATTCGAAATCTCAGCGAAATGTCAATGAGACAGCAGCTTATGGCTCTCTATGGACAGGGCGGCCGTCCCAAAATGACGTTTCCCATGGAAT